ACGGAGGCGGAGAGTCGCAAGGCGGAAAAGCAGCAGTGGAAGGCAAAAGAAGAAGAAGAAGCTAAAGCAAACCAATGCCAAGTGGCCGGAGTGTGTCGTGGGAGGGGGGAGGAACTGGACAACACACACACACACACACACACACACACACACACACACACACACTGACAAACACAAACAGGCTCACACACATAAAGTTGCTCTGGGCCTTGTAGATGAATTTGTATTGTTTTGCATTTGCTTTTGGGGCGCTACTTTGTTTTTGCCTCTGCTTTCGTTTTTTTTTGTTTGCCTTTTTTGTTTTTGTTGAAAGGAATAATAAAGGCCAGTCATCCAAGTTATACCAGGGCGGAAAACGGGAGAGCGAGTAAGAAGGGAGAGAGAGAGAGAGAGAGGTGGGGGGTGTGGTGGCAAAGGAAGAGTTGTTAAGCTGCCATTGCAAACAATTAAAATCATAAGAGACGCACATAAATTATTCATGGCTTAATCTAAAGTGGACAATCTATGCAAAGTACCCGACACACACACACACACGCACACACTTATCCATCCCCTCCTTCAATTTCCCCACCCTCTTTTCTATTGGCAAGCATGTGTACGCTCGAACTCTTTGCCAAAACAGAAAGCTCCACTTTTTATACCTTGACCAATTCTGACTTTTGTTACTCATTAATTAACATTTTATATAAAAATATTATATATTTATATAAAAATTATTATAAAATATATTTTTGACACATATACATATGCATTTGTTGTTTTTTTTTGTGCTCTACATTTTTTGGTATTGAAAATGTTTGCATTAATGTGATAAATATTATAAACATGCAACACAAATGTGCACCAGCCTCAAAATGGAAAAACAAAAATCATCGACTTATTGAAATTTGTCTCACAAGTAACAACAGCTAACTATCTATCTATCTGTGTATATATTCGTGTATATATTTGAGTTCTGATAGATTCGCATGTGGCGTGCGCGGATTTGTTGGCATATTTCTGGCTTGCAAAAAAATTTTCAACGGCCCCACATTACAAAATATATCGCCGAAAATAATAAAATTTTGTGGCTTTTGGCAAATATTTGGACAGCTAGCGTCACGTCGAGGGGGGCACGGAGGGCGAAGAGCTCGAAATGAAAATCATGTACACGAGGTAAGAATTGAAAAATCGAGTGGTAAAATGTAGATATAGAAACTGTAGACAGTTTTTCTATATCTGCGCACATTTCTGTCATAACAAAAAAATATTTTTACTGGCTGCGCAGCCCCGTCCCAGTTCCCTTACCCCATCCGAATTTCTGTGTTGACTTTATACTGAATATATAAAAATGAAAATAAATAAATAATGAAAAAAACGAAATAGCATGCCAATAAATACAAATAAATATGCTGTTTGCAAAGAGGGGCCAAAGGGCAGGCAGGGAGGGCAGTGAGCCTTTGGGGTGGCGAGTGGCGAGAAAAATGAAAAATAGACTCGCGGACAATGTTTCGAATTTTATAAATGAACGGCAAAAAAATAAATGAATTTATTGTCGACAGCGTCCGAAGCCAAGATACGAAGATGATTCTGACTGTTGATCATAATGATGATGACGATCTTCATCATAATGATGCAAATGTACACAAGCAAACAAAGATATCTGCTGTAGTATAAATTTGCTTTCGTTGAAATGAAATCGCGCGACTCATAAATTAATTAAGGCAATAAGTGCATTAGGCGCATACAAAAGTGTGTGTTAGTATGTGTGTGTGTGTGTGTGTTTGGGCGGGGGTGGCGATGTCAAATGTATCTCTATCTGTAACTGAAAATACGCTGCCTTCATCTAGTTGTTGGTGTTCTTGACTTGCTTGATTGTTCATCATTCAAATCTTGAGCGCTTCAGCTCCTCCTGCTGGCGTTTGACTGCTGGCTGCATGTGCATCTACAAGATACTCATGTATCTGACACCTGTCATCTTTTCGTTTAACCTACGCCCCAGCTCTCTCCGACGCCCACACCCCTTGCCGTTCATTGTTGCTCTGCTAATTTTACTCTCCTGACAAAGCCCCCAGTCCGCGTATATGTGTGTGCGTGTATCAATTGTCTGTGTGAGGATTCTGGCATAACATGCTCTCACGTGCTTGTGCTGTCATTTGGAGTAGCGTCTCGTGCCTATACCAAGATGCCAATAATCTCCCCAATGCCGTAACCTCCGCGTCGCCTTGTTGCTGGTCTGCTGAGGCGCAAAGTAGTTGTATTTATGTTAACTTTGACATAAGCCTGACATGCAAATTTCTGTTGTTGTTGCTGTTTTTGTTGTTGTTCTTGTCATTTCGGTTGCATGTCCTCGCACAAAGTGTCAAAGTTAAATAATCGCCACTAGGGCAACAACTGAACTAGAAAGTCACACTCACAAACAGATAATATTTTTAAGCTTCTATAAGATTTAAAAAAACAAAAATGTTAATCAGTCAAAAAAATATATCATATGTATATCTGAAAAACTAAAAACTGACAACATTTAATGAATGTGCAAAAATAATGGCTAATATTAGATAAATAAGTACGAAAATCTTGTTTTAAATACTTTTAAGCCTCAAAATGTTTTAATCCTAACAATTGTATGCTTATTTTTGGTATGCAAACTCTGGAAACTAGTTTCTAAACTTCAGCTCAACCTTTTTTTTTCATTTCTTGTAGTTTTGCAATAAGGGAAAGTTCACGCATAATTTAATAATATTGAAGAACGAAATGCCTAAAGCTTAAAGATACTTAAAAATGCGTCAACAAATTGAAATTACTCAAACTGAGCTACTTCTTCGCCTTATATTAGGTTTTTGAATATGACTTAAGATATTTTCTGTGAAATATGTTGCTCTACTTAATTTGTGTACTTTTTGCAAAGTAATATTTATTTTAAAATATGGTACTGAGGCTCCTAAACCAAACAAATAAGGCTCACATTTAATTTAATTTTAACTAGCTTTATAAACAAAATTTTGTGTAAAGGTGTTTAATTGGGTTTACTCACTTTATTGGCAAGTTCACTTTTCATATTTTTGCAATTTGTTAATTGTTTATCCGCTTACGTGGAACATTTGTAAATCACTTTTGACTTTTTGGTTTTGCCGACGGCAGTTAACAGTTTTCCACGAATCCTCAGGAGGATTCGGGTAATGATACGTTTTCTTAGTCCTTTTATATGCACTATTTTCAGTATTTTGTCTTTAGCTCACTTCTCCTTTGTCGTTTTTAACAAATTTATTGCACATATTTAAATTGTTTTTGCATTGCTGTTGCTCGCTCTCCCAGAGAGACTTTTGTTTACGTTGTTGTTGTTGTTGCTGCTGCTGCTGCTGCGTTGGCCATTTGCATTTGTGTTTTTATTTTATGATTAATTTAACACACGCGACCACAAAAACTTCTACGTCGAACCCCCGCGCACTCTTCCCCCATGACACCGCAGTGTTCTCGAGCTCACACCCACACGCAGGCACTCACACAACCACGCACACACACATACGCAGATGAACGCACACAAACACACACGCACACACTTAAACGAACGCACACACACACACACACGCACGCACTTAAAGCTGGAGATGAGGCGGGAGAAAAAAATAAGTAACGTGCGTGAGCTGCGACAACAACGTCGACGGCGACGACGACGGCGGCGGTAATAAAAACCGTTAACTGGCCAGTGCTGCCGCTGTCAAATTTTTTGGCAACAATAATTTGCTGTGAATGTGAATGGCAAATTAGCTGTAAACTGGCAACGGGCCACTGGTAACTGGAGGCTTTGAGGCGGCTGAGCAAAGCCAAGAAGTGGCGGCTGTTGCCTGCTGCCTGCCTCGCTGGCTGGCTGAACTGACGCTGAACTGGCGCTGTCGGTGGCGCTGCCGTTGGCCGTGGCGTTGGCCGTGACTGGAGCCGAAGCAGAGAATGTCCTTTATGGACCTAACGAGCGTGCGGCGCAGCAAGAAAAACGGCAACGAGACAACGAAACGCAGCAGCAGCGCAGCAGCAGCGAATCGAAGTGTCGCTATCGTTGGGGGCAGATTTTCGTGTTCGGTGGCATTGCAAAAGCTTAGATGTGCCCAACAACAGCAGCGAGAGAGCGAGCAAGAGAGTGAGAAATATATGTAAAAGTGCGTGCAACATTTTCGAAATTGCGGGGAATTGACCGTATAAGACTGTTATCACACTGTTATAGTAACTGGCTAACAGTGAGTACCGCTGTTAAGCTTGCAACACATTAGCTGTGCTGCTCTAACGCACGCATCGCTTGCATTTATGAAAGGCCTTAACTGTGTGTAAGCGTGTGTGTTACTCTGCGAATGCCATAAATCAAAAAGAGACTTGCGGAGCAGGCATCTGCGTGTGTGTGTGTGTGCCAATGCGCTGTGCTCTCTTGCCGGCTGCCGAGCACTGAAAGAGCCGACGGCGCACAAATCGATACCCCAGCGGCTGCAAACGAAATACTGTCCGACACCAGACAACGTCATCTTCGGGCAGCGCAGCAACGATTTTTGCGCAGCTTCATTGTTGTTGTTGCCGCTGAGCCGTCGACAAATAAATAAAACGCAATGCAAAAGCAAAAACAAATTATGACAACTTTAGGCGGAGCATATCAAAAAACGTGGAAGTGGACGCTGACGTCGTTGTCAGCAGCACTGCTCTCATTTTTCTCAATCATATTTCTTACCATGTGTGTGTGCGTGTGTGTTACGGAGTGAGCCTGTATTTGAGTTTCTTTATTTACCTATCTTAAGTTTTTTTACAGCTGCTATTTTACCGTTGGTCCTTTGGCAGACATTGCGCTAACAAAATGCCGTCGGAAACGAATCAATTTCATTTTTCAAAGCAAAGCTCTTACAGTTAATTTCTAAAAAAGCTGATATTGAGAGGACAGAGTTTTTCTTTTTAAGTTTTCTGCACAACATGCTTAAATTATTATTTTTTAATTCAGCAATTTAGTTGATCATAAAAGACTTTTAAAATAATTTCAATTTCAAAAAAACATGTTGGTTTTAGTTCTGTTTTCAGCTGTATTCAAACACTGATCATTTGCTTGGTTAAAAATTAGTCTCATATTTAACAACTCAAACTCAAACACAACAATTCGATGCGGGAAACCCTCCGCTCAAATGCTATTCAGATGCAGTTCGCGGCATGAATTATGCATGTGACTGGCGACTTCCATATTCACCAATTGCATTTCATTTGTAGATAAATGCGTGCGTATCTTCTTGGTACTATTTTACAAAAACCATATGTACATACATACATATATATGCTACTGCTACTGAGCTGCAACCCTCTCCGCCCCGTGTTCGTTGCCCATATAATCTGGAAGTATTCGTGCGGAACATCTGCCCGCTGTGTGAGTTTTTGAGTTACTAAAAAAAAAAAACTTTATAGAACCAACAACAGTTTCAAAATGGATTCATGTTGAATTAAAAATGAAATGAAATGATAACAAACAAGAACAACAATAGGAACGACAAGCAATCTCCACCACCCCATATTTCCCGGCCGGCATCTTGTACCCTAAACTGTTTTCGAAGCCCTGCATAGGTATCAACTAATAACTAACCCTCTCCTCTCACACCCTTGAATCGGATGTAGGCTGCATTGCAAATTAACAGCCTGTATAAAATGTGTACCGCCCGAGGTCTGTCAAAAATCATCTCGAGAGCATTTCCCTGTAAAATGTCAAAAAAAAAAAAAACAAACAAACAAACAACGGAACGAAAAACAATATACATAACCACAGATATTAAAAGGAATAGAGTTGACATTTCATAGCCATAGACACAGAGTCTGAGCCCACCATAATTTCCCAGACGCAATGTCGTTTATCATCATGAACCGCTTCTAATCAAAAAACAACAAAAACCAAATTCGAAGACATTTTCAATGATGGCCGCCCGCGAGAGAAAGCAAGTGGAATTTCTATGCAAATCGAACGCCGCTTTATAATTTTGATGACGCCGATTTGTCTCTATATTCATAAAAACTGCCCAAGAAAAACCTCCACATATTTTTAAGGTCGCAGGAAAATCAAAGACAAAGCGAAGCCGACCAGAACTTAACCAACATAGCATAATTAAAGTCGGAATAAATTATTACACACATTTTGAGGTAAATGCGACAAATGCCTAAATCCGAAAGGTCCCCACGACCACAAACTAAACCAATCCAATGAAGAACAACGTTTTTAATCATCATGGAAAACGTGAGTTGGTTCAAAATATAAAATAAAATGTCGGCATGTTGAAGAGTTCTTGGAAAAGCATGAATTAATGAAAATACAATGCAAGTAAATCAAATCTTTGTTATTCATTTTAAATAACAGTAATTAAGACAACCTAAAAATAACAACAATAAGGACAAACCACGAAAAAGATTGACTATAGGTATTCAAACGACTAGAAAAATATTATCTGAATATCTTTTGATTGAGTTCTTGTCGTATCGGTTAGTATTTCCCAAACAATACTGCGTTTTAGACAATATTGAGCAATCATTTATTTTGAGTATCGTAACAGAATAAACAATGTATTCTATAACGTTTTACCGATACTTTGATAGAGACTCCCCATCTTTCCATTACTATTGAATCACGCACAAACATCACACAACATACATCAGCATGACTGTTGACGAATGCGACACTCTTTAATTTTATGCCTAACTCAAATAAATGTGCTTATTTAAATGACATCGATTTTTAATAGTACCCCACGCATTACCACAACTCTTGTTTCATCAAATTGGAAATACGCGTCGGTCGGTCATTTGATCGAATGCGATCGGGGGTTCAACTTTAATATCACGTTTGACTCGGCTACATAGAATTAAGAACCCTGGCCGTGAAAATGAAATATATAAAAAAAAAACCGAAACAACTCGAGCTCAAGTTGCTTTTTAAACATCATAAAAATGAAGTACTTCAGACGTACGTTGGGCATACTTATTTAGGAACAAGTCCGAGTTCCCAAGAGCCGAACCCATTTTATTCGTACCGAATGTGTTTTTGATTTGTCTGCCATGTGATTTATGTGAACGATTGATAAAAAGCAAATTAAACTTTTAGTTTTGTTTTTTTTTTTTGAGTGGAAAACAAGATCAACGAATGAAAATTTAGCTGATGTATTTCTTTTAAAATGTTATGTTTATTTGCATTTAATGTTTTTACCCAAATTTAAGGAGTCTTTTCAGAATTGACCTTGGGCCGACATAAGGGCTGTCACTTTGGGTCATTTACTCGATTACGTTTAATCGATTTCTTTGTAAACTCGAAACCAATGTCAACAGCCGCACGGCATTCACAGATACCGATACAGATCCACAGACACAAGTACACAAATAAGCAATTTCAGGCTGCCAACTAAAGAGGAAGTTGAAGAAATTTGCTTTTTTGGTCTCGAAGCGAAACAACATTTACACACTTTAACGAAGCAAAAACATTTGAGCAATCGGCAAAAAACAAAAAAAAAAGGCAGAAAAACAAAAAATAAATAGAAAATCTAGTACAAAGTGGAGTACGCGTAAGCGGAAGGATCCAGCTGGAACAGGGAGGAGCCACACTGAGAACACGACGATGTTGGCTTAAATTTGCTGGCAGTCGCATAGGTAAATAAGCAACAGTTCTACATATAGTACACAAAGCCAGACAAACGCGCTCTTGTGCAAATGCATCTATAGCAAGCATTCGTGGCACTGTTGTCCTTGACGCTGCTGTGTGCGACACCGAAAACTATGTCTAAGTCTGTGCTGTTCCTGTGCCTCTTACTGCCCCGCCTTTCGAATGTGTTTACTCCTAGTTGGAATTGTAGTTGACTTCAATTTTAAAGTTTTATTGATTTTTCATGTCGGAATCTGTGCTTTACGCATAATTCAAGTCTTGTGGCTGTGTGCGTAATTAACACGCCCAGCGTCTGCTCCGATGGGCGTTACCTCTTCTCGATTTGATGCGACAAATACTCGAGTGTTAATTTATGTGGCGTTGCTTTTGTAATTTTAATGGAAATGCAATTCATAAAATAAGACATCATAAATTCTTAAAGAGCCACGGGTTGGACGGAGCTATGGCTCGTGGATGCCACATGTGGGGCCCGAAAGAATTCCATTTCTGCGGGGTAACATCTGTTTATTTCACTTCAATTCAATTTCAGTTGTTTTTGTAACATTTCATCATCTATTTTAGTTTATGATTTTAAATTAGAGAATTCAAGCAAAAGTGGACATCATTTTTTCAATCCTGCAACTGTGTGATCTTATATACTTTAAGCTACTTGGTCCCGACTTTAAATGTTCTTTGAATGAAAATTTGATGACAATTGTTGCATTTAAATGTTGCCCAATTTCGGAGACGCCGCTGCGAAAGCCAATGCCTTATTTGGCTGGGTGCTGTGTACGAGTTTGGGTCTACGGGTTCCCGAAAAAATCGATATGGTCCCAAATAGACATGTCTGTTGCTTTCTGTTGCTGCTGCTGCTGCTTCTTTTTTTCGGCGGCACCCCAAAAACAGCAACAACATGTGTAAGCTGCCTTCATTATTAGGCAGTCAGAGGGGCTTGTGTCTCCCGTCCTAGCGAAAGTGTTACCACCAAAGTTCGTCTGTTGTCTCGGCCCATCAATGCCCCAAATTACGGTGCAACCAGCATAAGTATTTATATAGAGCTATATAGTAGCTATATGTATATATCTATATACATATATATATATGTATCGTGCAGCTGTATGTGCCTCTGTTTCGGTCGTTTTAAGCGGCATCGTCCTTTCCGATTTCCACTTTGCTCCCACAAAAGCCAAACTAACTTTGTACTGACACGCCTCCTCTCCAGCTAGCACCCTTTTCGACTGTCTCTGTCTGGCTTTTTTGTCACCATCGTCTCGCAGTTTCACTTTTTGTATGTGGGCGACGATTTTACTCTTTTTGCTACTCAAATTTCCACTGCGTTTGTAGGCGAATCGGAGTCGCTGTTTTATATACCAAATGTCTCCGGTTTCGTTCGCTACTGTGTGTGTCTGTGTTTGGGTCACATGTGTTTGTTAAAGCTTAAATATTCCAAAATTAGCTACCAAACTTAAACTGTAACGATCTGCCAAGAACTGCGGGCAGTTTTGTTTTATGTAAATCAGGTCAATGGCACACCCCCATCCCATGTAGTATAAATACAAAACCGACGTAGCGCCCTCTAGTGTATGGAAATTTGAAACACACACTAATTTTAAGATTATGAACAAGGTATTCGTCATTTCAGTTTCAATTCTGTTTAGTACCCAGTGAAATTGCATTGAAATTAAAGTCCTTGTTTTTGCTAAAAAATCAAAAACACGAAAAACTGGAAATCTGAGCGGCGAATCGCAAGGGAATGATGTATAACTATAGAGAGATACGAGTTCCCATTGATTCAGCAATTTGATGGGCTCCGTCGAGCGAAATGTTTGCTTAGCTGAGGCGACATCAATAAACGTAAACACACGCCAAATATACACAAACACACACACACACTAGTGCACATTTTGCATTGGCGTGTATCTGTCATGGCGAATATCCTTTTATGAATCTAATGCGAATTTCATATCCTGCTGTGTGATCGACTGCTCCTGCTCCTGCTCCTGCGGCTGTTTGTTATTCCGGGGTTTTTCGTTCTTTTGTCTCGCTTCTCGCTGTTTGTTTTCGCATGATTCGTGCATCGCATTGCGTTGACAATTTAAAAGATATTTCGATATATCGTTTTTTTCTCATACGGACTATTAGAAGATTATGCATGTTCCTTGCTTCGATATAGTAATATCCATATAATTTTTGTAATCGGTTTTTTAGTAAAATACGCACATAAATCTTCTTATATAATAAAGTATTATACATTACTTATTTAGTTCATAAATAGTGGCATACTCTTTTTTTATTATATGGACGGATTAAAGATTTAAGCTCTTTAAATGAGGAACTTTCTCCTGCCAGCTTGTCAAATCAAATCAACTTTCATGAAAATTAACTTTAATATTTTCCGACGATGACAGTGAAAGCTTTTTCACCCCCCCACTGTGAAAAATGACTATGACGCTCACCCAGCCATACAACTAAAATGGCAACCATGCTGAGCGCACTTCTCAGCCCACACTTCTTTTCGAAGGCTATAATTATGTATTTATGCAAATTTTCCGGCTGCGTGTCGAATGTTGAAGTTGCGAAGCGTCGCCTCCATATTGTCGCATCATTTACCATTTACGAAATTGTTTAATTCAATTAAATAATTATATGCATATGTTTTTGTAACATGCATGACACCCTCGCTCACAGGCACACACACACACACATACATACATCTTGCACACGCACAGCGCATTGATGGTTACATTAAAAAAGTCGCCCTCTCAACTGGCACCACCACCCGCACCACCCAAAGGCAAATTACGAGCAACAATAAACTTTGTCAACATCGAGGTGGTAGAGACGGGTGTCCTTAGCGGGTTCGGAGGGAGGTGTGTGTGTGTGTGTGTTTGTTAGAGTAGCAAAGTCTTAAGCCTGCGCAGGGAGTGTGCCGTCAGCTAATTCATAAGTGCTGCATCTGTCTGTGTGTGTGTGTATATATGTGTGTATATATAACGCGAAATTCATTTGCGTAATGCGTGAGTGGCAATCTGTGAAGGGGGCTTATGGGGGGCATATACTTTGAGATGCGGGTCGCTAGATTTGACAAGCTCATATGGAAGTTTATGCATGGATTTTCTGTGCGTTTTTATCGAGCAATTTTTAAAGGCATAACTGAAATTCGATTCCGAATGCAAATCCTTTTATGGGTTCTCGGGTGACTTCGTAAAGGCACCTTAAGAGATTTGCCGCCGTATTTATGACCTGCCATTGGTAAATGAAAGGGAAGCCGCCCAAAATAAATGCGAACTAGTTGATGTGCCGGTTCACACACCATTAGCTGAAGCCCCCCTCCCCTCCTCTCCCCTCACCAACAACCTCCGCGACTTAACATAATTTAAATGCACAGCGAGCAAGCGAGTAATTTTGTTTCTTTTTTCACATTTTCATATAATTTAGATTTTGATTGAAATTAAAGTTTAGATCACGTTTTGCATTTCTAATGAAAGAACAAATAAGACAACAGCCAGGTAAAAGACACACGCGTTTCAAAAGCCATCAAATTTTCTATTTCCCAATGCCAACGATGAGCGCGAAGTACGGTAGGGAGTTCAAGTCGGACGATTGAGCATATTATACTCATTATAACTAATGCGTTCAGCTCAGTAGTGTAAGCTGCATATTTTTTTAAAATATATAGTTACTTTTCTTCTTAAGCTATAT